AATCATGGACTCAACTTTGGACACACTGAGCATAAGGGACTTTGGGACAACATAGAATATGTCACCAATAACTGTTTGTCTTAGTGGACTGAATTGAGATGCCTTCCAGTCCCTGTCATGAGCTGCTCACGGGCATCATTCCAGATCTCAGGGATAAATGAGATCTGCTTAAGTGGCTATCTCTGAATTGTTTGAGTGATCAATAGTGAACAGTAGTGCAAAGACGTGCTGTCCATTGAACTGTCCTCCTTCTCTATCTTTTACTGGTAGGAATTTCTCAGCATCTAATCCCTTTCAAGGGCCAACGTTGTAAATTATAATTTGTAATTATTACAAATCAAACCTATAAAAGGCCCAACACTGACAGAGATGTTTATCATCTTTTTAACTGCCTGACAAACATCAAAAAGCCCCAGGGGTGTTGAAATCCCTCTAGTTTTGGCTGCTACCAGTTGAGGAGAAGGGAGGGTTTCTGTAAATGACAGGTCTCCTTACTTCTGTAGATGGAAATTTCCTGCCAGCTCTGGTGTCGCTGGTCCAGGATGGTTCCTTATAGTACAACCATTGTCAGACCCTGTGGAGACGGATGGTGCTCACAGAAGCTCCCTCAGTTGGGGCCAAACAAGTAGCTCTACAGTATATACCATCAGAACAACAGAACTGCACTTGGCCATAACTGGCCTGGGCTCTTATTTCTTTTTTCTTCTCCATCTGTGTTGCCTCAGTCAACATCCCCCAAGCAGCACTTACGTGGTTAGTTCGTTTTGTCCCCGCCACTAGCAGTGTTCAGGCAGAAGCCACTCCGGAAACATAATCCCTACCTCCAGACTCTCCAAACGTATAAACTCCCTTGCCGATTCTCAATGAAGAGGTCTGAAGGTAAGACCAGACACTTGACTTGATAAAAACAAGATACTGACCTATTTAGAGTTAATGCTCAAGTTGTTGACAAGAAAATATCAAGTGTAAGAGTAAACTTAAAAAAAAAATGTTGTGGCGAATTAAAGCTCTAGTAAGTAGGAATGAAGAAAGCAAATGTGGTCTGGGTGGAAAGGCAAGTGCCCCGTCAAGATGGAGATCCATTTGGGAATCCTCAACTCACTTCTGCCACTGCTTAGCTGCAGACATGTGAGTAGACCGCTCTGTACCTTGGTTTATTCTTGTGTAAAGGCAGAGGATGATGAATCCCATGCAATCTTCTCCATTGGAGAAAACAACCATACAGACTACCCATTCAATATAATTTCTAAAATAGAAAGATCTGGGGTTTGGCAAAACAGTGGCTAATTCAACTAAGAATTTCCTTGAAGTTTTATCAACAAATGGGTCTTCATGAAAGAGAAATAAAAATGACAGCAAGGGCGGGGTGAAAAAAGCAGCATCCTAACCTCACTCAGACATAAGAGTGGATCCAGCCTCCAGCAGGAGGACAAAACTGGCCCAGGGCTGCAGATGTGACATGCCAGATATTCATGTGTTTGAAGCGGTGAGGTTATATGGATCCTGGGTGAGTCAATCATGTGGAGCTTAAGTTTAGTGCCAATGCTCCCAATACTCTCTTCACCAAAAGGGAATTACTACAAAACTCAGTCAGCCACTGAAGTTTCCACTAGAAGTTCAACACTCTCTACTTCTTCTAAGACACAAAACAGAGATGGCTCTGTCTCTCTTCTTCATTTTATGAGTGATAGTGTCCAGAGTTACTGGAACTCTCAGTTCTTAAGGGAAGGGGGAGTGGATGTTGTTTCTTTTACATCCTTTGTTAATGTCAAGAAACCAAGCCACGTATTTTTTAATAATGAGAATCTGGATCAAGTTCAGTATATAGTTCAAAAATGTATTCCAATTAAACAATTTAATAGAATTTTGGCTTTTCCTCTAGCCCCAATCCCACTACCATATGTATCCAATAATTCCAAGTTCATCCCCCCCCACACACTAAAATGGAGTCACTAAACAAGTGTGACATTTTGCTTCAAAAGTTCAGTTTCTCCAATCAACAAAACTAAAAGCCAGCCTATTGAATGGGAGAAGATACTTGGCAAATGACATATCTGATAAAGGGTTAGTATCCAAAATCCATAAAGAACTTAACCAAACTCGACACCCCAAAAAACAAATAATGCAGTTAAGAAATGGGCAGAAGTCATGAATAGACAGTTTTCCAAAGAAGACATCCAGATGGTCAACAGACACATGAAAAGATGCTGAACATCACTCATCATCAGGGAAATAACAAATCAAAACCATGATGAGATACCACCTCATACCTGTCAGAATGGTTAAAATCAACAACACAAGAAACAACAAGTGTTGGTGAGGATGCAGAGAAAGCAGAACCCTCCTGCACTGTTGGTGGGAATGCAAACTGGTGCAGCTACTCTGGAGAACAGTTTGGAGGTTCCCCAAAATGTTACAAATAGAACTATCCTAAGACCCAGCAAATGCACTACTAGGCATTTACCCAGAGGATACAAAAATACAGATTTGAAGATGTACATGCACCCCAAAGTTTATAGCAGCATTATCAACAATAACCAAACTATGGAGAGTCCAAATGTCCATCGACTGATGACTGGATAAAGAACATACTGTATACACACACACACACACACACACACACACACACACACACACAGGAATATTACTCAGCCATCAAAAAGAATGAAATCTTGCCATTTGCAATGATGTGGATGGAGCTAGAAAGTATTATACTAAGTGAAATAAGTCAGTCAGAAAAAAAGACAAATACCATATGATCTCACTCATATGTGGAATTTAAGAAAGAAAACAGATGAACATATGGAAAGCAGAAAAAGCAAAAAAAAAAAAAAAGGAGAGAGGGAAACAAACCATTAGAGACTCTTACCAATAGAGAATAAACTGAGGGTCGATGGAGGGAGATGGGTGGGGTGAAGGGCTAGGTAGGTGATGGGTATTAAGGAGGGCATTTGTTGTGATGAGCACAGGGTGTTGTATCTAAGTGGTGAATCATTGAATTCTACCCCCAGAAACCAATATTGCACGGTATGCTCACTAACTAAAATTTAAATTAAAAAAGATTAAAAATAGGGGTGCCTTGGTGGCTCAGTCAGTCAGTTAAGCATCTGCCTTCAGCTCAGGTCATGATCCCAGAAAGCCCCTCGTTGAGCTCCTCTCTCAACAGGGAGTCTGCTTCTCCCTCTCCCCCTCTCTCTGCCCCTCCCCTGCTCGTGCTCTCTTTCTCTCTCTCTAAATAAATAAATAAAATCTTTTTTAAAAATTAAAAACAAAAATAAAAAAAGAAATAATTTTAAAAATACAAGAAAAGAAATAAAAAATTTAAAAAAGAAAGCTCAGTTTCTCTTAAACCACTGTTTTCTAAGAGTCAACACTGGCTCAACCACCCCACATGCTGGTGAAATGCAGACTGTCAACCCCAATCATCACTCCACATCCATATCCACACACATACCAGGTGGTTGTGCTCCAGGCCCGTGTGTCAGTGACCCTGCCTACCTCCTTTCATTAGGTACTTCCTGGCTGCCAGGCCCAGGGACAGTTCTCGAGAGCACAGCAGTGAACACAATGTCTCCACCAATGCCTGCTCTCAGGAACTGGCAATATCTCTGCCAAAACCTTCTCACACCAGCCTCCATGATACAAAACGCCTGTTTAGCTCGAGCTTGGACAGTCAGTGAGTAAAGCAAGGGCAGAGAAGCAAGAAGCCACCTCAGAAATAAACAGGATCAAGTGTCTTTGCATGAAAATGACCCATTTTCATTTATGAAGCATGTTTATATACATGACTGCACGAAAAGTTACCCTTCTTTGGTAGGTGAGGAAACAGACTCACTAGAAGCCAAGGTTATAGAGAGAGTTAGTGGCCATCAAAGATGAAGGCCCAGATCTCCCAACTGTCATAACACCTCTGCCTCTTAAGGGCCATGAGGGCCTCAGAGCAAAAGCAGCATCCTGAATATGTACTGAGCCTGCTTCTCTCACAGAATTATGAGGAGAAAGTTGGCTTCCTACAGAGAGCTTCCATTTCTCGGCCATTTATTGAGAAAAAACAGAAGGAAATTCTGCATCACTTGTCTCACCAGATCCCTATGAAGATGAATGGTCTAATCATGCTTTAAATAGTTAATCATCAGAAAGGCAGTATCTCTTGTCCCTGAGGCATCTTCCTCTCAGGTATCCATGTACAGGGACATGAGGGAATGGAGATGGTGGTGGTCATGATGGTGATGACAATGATCATCACCGCCACCACGATTGCTAGCATGTAGTGCATGCCTACTCTGTTTTTAAATGCATTGTCTCATTTAATCCTCACAAGAATTCTACTATATTCTTCCATTCTGCAGATGAGAAAACTAAGTGTCAGAAAGGATGGGAGACTTGGCCAAGGTCACAAAGCTAGGAAGGAGCAGTGATAAGAGCCTAACCCAAGTGGTCTGCCCCCAGCCCCTATCCTTTTAATCGCCTTCTTCATCTTAAAACCTGAGAGACTTCAATAATTTAGATTACAAAACCTAATTTAGTGTGCAAACTGCTGGAAGCTCCTCTGGGAGGGGAATGTAATATAATGTATTATCAAGTCCTAGAAGGGTTTCCCATATGGCAGAGCCACAATTTCAAAACTTAGGGTTCCATTAATGGCAGCTGTGTGACAGAACAGAGTAAGCTCTGTCTGTAATTTTGACCAGTGTCACTTTGGGGCGGGAGGAGGTTGGAGAGAGAGACTCATAAAGTGTCTGACACTCTGGGAAGCTTCCCGAGGCAAAGGGGTCCTGCCCTGGGAAGAGCCACTGACAGAGGAAAAGAGTTGAGGTTGGCCCACAAGCCATCTGTGCTAAGGCCACAGGCTTCCCACCCTGAGCTGCCAGAGAAGGGAGAAACTGGAAGTAAAGCACAAAGCAGTGCAAGGAAAATGTTCACCCGGCCCATCAACTTGAGATAGGTGTTGTGTCTGTCCAGGTGTTCAGCCAAAAAGGAGGGAGCCCAAGTTGCAAAATTCAGATGGGCTTGCAAGCGGTCCCCTCCTCACTGTCAGATCTAAGCAATTCATTCCCATTGTTCGGACTGAGTTTTTTCTCCTCTACAAAACCAGAATAAGAAAACTGATAAGGCTGCCATAAGGAATAAATGAAATTATCATGAAGTAGTTCTTCAAATACCAAGGGCTATGTGAATGCTTAGGCATAGAAATAATAATTTCACCCCCATCATAATCATGAACATAACCTTGCTTTTTGGAAGGGGGAAAGGATGCTGCATCTGGAGCCAGCTTGTTTGCACAAGTGGTTATGCTTTGGTTATTTACAGAGCTACCAAGTACTCTTCGTTCGAGAAGAACTGGTGTAACCCATGGCTTGGCTTGGGGCCAGATGTGCTGTATTCAGTTCCGCTCCCACTCTCTCCCCGGCACTATCACTAAGAAGAAGCCATGGCCCAGGATATTACCTTGCTGCTTTTGCATGGTGGTGAAATCCTCAAAGGTGAGTGTGCGTACAGGGGGTCTCCAGAACGCATAAGTCTCCATGATGGCTTCCAGTCCAGTTCTGCGGAGAGAAAAGCCAACAAAGGAAATTATAAATTATGCCAAGAAACGCACTGACTTTTTAAAGATCCTGCGGTGGTTTGTCTGACAAGTGGTATATACGTAGGATTGAGAGACATCACCCCCCTCACCGCCCGGGAAATTAGTCTAGAAGAGCACAAGGAACAGATGACACTGAAATGCATAAGGAAGAAGAAATTAACCCAATTCAGATTATGTGCAAGCAAGTGATAACTATGATGGAATTTTACTCTGAGCTTTCTTCAAAGGAGGTCTGGTCTGCATGAAAAGTCAGAAAAAAAACTACGCATTTTTAAAGGTCAAGGTCACTAATATCATGACCAGAGTTGAGCCGAGAGTGGCACTGACTATTTCTCGAGCACAGGACAATATCATCATCATTACCACAGTACATGGACACGGCCTGCCCCAGAGTCAACTCCACCAGTGGGGATGTGGAGTCCAGGGAACTGTCAAATCGCTTAAATCAACGGAGACAAGCAGGGCAATATAAACAAAAGGAGAAGTAAGCAAGCAAATACACTTGAGTTTCTGCCACAACAAAAAATGCCCACCTGAAGGCAAAGAAAGGGTTTTGTCCCAGAAATTATACCTCACGCAAAAAGGCCAATACATTTCTCTAAATACTGATCTGTATTTTATAATCTAATAACCAAGCTGGTGTTTGAGGGTCACATACATGAGACCGTTGGACCTCAGGAAACTTTCATCCAGTATTTTACAAATACATTAAGGCTTCTGTTTCATTGATACTGGAGGTTCCATTAATTAAAATATGCACACACTGCCTACCTTACCCTTCAATAAATTCTCTCTATCATATATATGAGGTACTGATGGACATCAATTCAACATAACTATCCAGGTTATCTCGGTCATATTCTTGCTGATATTCCATGTCCTCAAAACAGAGTATTGGTTGGGGCTTCGTTTAAAGCTTTGAACTTTTAACTTTGTTAAAGCTTCTGATTATTGACTTTTCTTTAAAACTAACTGCTTCACTTCTATCTAAGTGGAAGGAGCAGAAGTACAGGGACTGTGGACAAGGAGGGTAGAGACGAGTAGGTGGCATTGTCCTTTCATTGCAAAGTCACTAGAAGGTAACATGGCGTCCCTTCCTGCAAAAGACAAGCATTCCCTCTTGAGATGAAACTTATGCTGCCTGTCTTCCTCCCTAGGCAATATATTTCCAGAGCTCTCTTCACTCCTGCAGACCAAGAATAAAGTGAGAAGCTGTATTTTAAGTGAGAACAAATATCTTTTCCTTACAAATGACTAGAAGATACCTTGAGGTTCTTCTCAGATGAGCTGCTGCTCTTTGTGTTGGAAAATTTCCTCTCTGAACAGGCTTTACTTGCACAGTTAACTTTCTAAAGTCTTCCCTGGAATCTTGGAGGCTTTAAATACACCAATGTTGGCAAATCAAACTCTGTATTTTTAGAAGAGGTTGAGAAGAGAGGGTGTTGCATGGTGTTTATTAGCTGTTAATCTGTTAAAAGTAGGAATAGAAGACATGTCCACATAGTCACCTACATTAATGCTGAATACAGTACATGGAACTATTTGTGGAGAGAAAGAGTCCAGACAATTAGGGAGTTCAGAATAATAAGAGGATAGGCAGATAAAGCCATGCCGAGCTTTGATGCATATAAGAAAGAGATAGGTCAGGCATGGATCTCACTGCCTTGTTCTGGAATGTTGGCCACCCATCAGAACATCTTAGGATTCCCTGTAATGGCACGGGAGGCTCACTGCAGATGGCAAGGCCTTTGTGGTTTCACCTTCTATTCCATTCTTCGCAGGAACATTGTACCAACGAGGGACAAAATATTAGCTCAAGGACAAAGAACAGTCCCTTCTCATTTCACAATAAAGTGACAGATGACTGTGAAGTAACAGTTACACACTGATATACTGGCCATGTCATATTTATACAGGAAATAGAAAAACTTTGATTTCATTTTCCTAACAGGCAAAAGGACTGTAGCAAAGGTATTCATAATTTTATTTAAGCCGCCAACGCTATATAGGACAGTGACCATTTACCCATCTGTCCAAATCTAAAATCCAACTGGAAGACTGAGTTGTAGAATCATAGATTTAAAAATTGGGACAGTTCTTGGGTATCACCTACTTCCTCTTCCTGGGATGCCATCTTGGATGGTTATCCAGCCCCTGCTGGGGTATTTCCCAAGGAAAACACTCAGTTTTCTAATAGATGTTAGGAAGTTCTTTCCGACCTTGGGCTGAAATCTCTGATGAAACTTGTACTCTCTGGTTCCATCACCAGTGAATAAATGCTGACAGTGACAGACACTTTCCACATCCTCATCAGGAAGACTTTCCTTAGCTGTTAAGAACGTCCTGTACAAGACACCACATACGACACAGCTACTGTCCATCCAGTCCAGGGGTCTGTCAGAAGGTTCATTTTGGTGGTGGAGTTGTGGGGGAGGGGCCATGACAACTGAAAAATAATGACTGAGACCACACATCCCTCACCATGCTTTGCTGTGGATCCACCTCTCATAGATTTATCCCAGCTACTTCCCGAATCTATTTATATATTCAAAGCATATCTCTTTTTAGAAAAATTAATCCTATTTGTTTACTCTATGCCACATCTTATTTGTCCTCAAACTCCATTAAGCTTCATCAGACAGATCTAATTGTTAGAAAGTACTAGTGCTAGATATCAGGATTTGGTGGCGTGCCGTGACTCTCTTTGCCACTGGTGTGTCTACTTTGGATCCCATGTTTCTCTGTGTCCTGGTGCTTAAGGTCTGTTGCCTGTTGCATAGTCAGATCTCAATTTGTATGCACTGAATGAATAAATAAAGGAGTAAATTTTTGCCCTATGTTTTATTACTGCACCATTATTTCATGAATTTTAGCCAGCCTAAAACTGAGAAAAGCAACTTGATGTAAAATCAAGACTGCAGACAAAAGGAATCCTTTAGTACCTGAGAATTGGGAATTGTTTCTATAGCTGCTTGTGCCTTTCTTGACTCAGGTCTCAGAGGGGTTTCAGTTTTCCTTTGGTTTCTTCTGTTCCGGTCACGAAATTTCTGACCTGCAACAGTCTGAGTTCCCCTCTCAGGGGCCAGTCATTTCTACCCTCACCTTCTCTTACAAGAGTCTCTGCCAACTACCCATTAACACCTTCAGCCACTTGGATGTCTATTCAAAGTTTATTGTGAGCAATACATTGCTTATTTATCATCATGCTACCCTAGCTTTGTAAAATTTTATCGTAAGGTTCTTAAAAATGAATTCATTGTCTAACAGATTAAAAAAAAGCAGTCTTAGGTAACCTCGTGTCATTAACGTGTTCCACACGGTGGGCCTCTCCAGGTCTGCTGCACACCAGAGACCCGATATCTGAGGTTTCCAATCAGAGATGATCATATTGGCAAGTGTCTCCTCTCTTGCTTACTTTTCCCTGTTTGCTCCAGCGACAACAGAGGCCATATCCAAACCCTCTTTGTTCAGTCCTTTGGCTAGAATCACCTCTCTGATTTCCAAGCCTCTTCTCTTTAGACTTTCAGTCTGCTCACTGGCCAAACCAACAGAACGTGTTGAAGAGGAGGGAGACAAGGAAGGAGAGGAAGCGAGCCAAAGATCTCTTTTGCCAATTGATGATACGTCAAGATCAACTGATTTGGAAAAATAGCCAGACTGTAAAGAATTTTTCTTCCAAATTTCTCATTAAAAAAAAAAAAAGTGGGACTAACCCCTTTGAAGTTCAGCAAATATTTTATAATAATAACAATTATGACTACCTTCATGAACCTATTAGATAGCACACTGCTGCATACTTTCTGTGTTTTATTTGTGTTGAGATAGAGAATTGCTTTTTATGTTTCTCCCATTTATTTTCTCTGTAGTTCTGACTTTTAACTCTTCCCCAAGCTATTGGCCGGTGATTCTGGTAACAAAAGGAACATACACTAGGGATTGGTGAGGCCATTGGTCATCTGTCAACAGAAGACAGTCAAGGACTACAGAGATGGGGTTTTGAAATCATAAAGAAGTTTTCCAGCCAGTAAATGTATTAGGTCCAGGAGATATAGAGACAAAAAAGGACACAGGGTCTTTACCCTAATTTAGGAGTGTCTTGTTCAACAAGAGGACAGCAATGTAAATGACTAATTCCTGAACAGTGTGATGAATGTTACACCAAAGATACATAGAAGAGGTCACGGAGCACTGAGCAAGAAGTACTTAATACACCTGGAAAGCTCCAGGAACACTCCATAAAAGGCCAGTTATTTCCGCTGAATATTAAAGGGTACTCAGCAGTTTTCCATATGGACAAGAGGCAGAAAGAACTTTCCCAGGAGAGTTCACAGTATATACAAAGACATGGAGGTATGGAAGAGAAGGCACGTTCTGGGAACTGAAAATAGTTCAGGGCGGCTGGAGCTCCAGGTGCAAGATGAGACGGTGGGGCGGATACCAGAGATATTTATTCCATGTTAGGGGCCTGGATTTTATCCCATGGGCGGTCCTGTACCTCTGATCTTCTTTCCTTTCTCTTCCTGTTCCAGCATTTGAAAAGACACAGAACCAGAATATACTGTTCTTTCAGATCTAATTACTATATCTCAACTTCCTAATCCTTTTTCTTAGACTGTCCTTCATTCACCGAGGTGAGGTCAACTCTTCCACGCATCCTTCTCCTTCCCTGGATCTGGAATTGTGTCCTATATATTGGTTATCCAGATATATTCTACAAGACCTCCCAACAGAGGTCTGCAAATGGGAAAAAAAAAAAAAAGCCATCATTCAAAACTTGGCTATAGATGGTACAGTAAGTATATCTGCATGATGAATTGACTGTCACTGATGTGCCTTACACTGGTTTGGAAGAACAGGTGTCCAATGGACAGATGCTTGGAGCTGAGTCAAAATTGTTCCTCACCCAGTGACTCCCAACTTGGGGACCCTGTCCCCACATGGAGTCTGAACAGGTAGCAA